CTCTCTCTCTCACTCTCAGCGGCCTTCCTCGTATTTACATATGTGCATTCACAAAACAGCTTTAGAACAATTGCAGCTTCTAACCACTATGTATGTAATTTCTATTCCATGTTTTTGATTTTTAGACTAATTATTGAGACCATTTCACTCGCTAAATTAACACCAGTAGCTTTCAACATTTGCTATGCACAAAATTATGATGGTATATCAACATAACGTATCTCTTGCTCTGACCATCTCTTTCCCGCTGGTGCAGTACATCAGCCACAGGAAGCGCTGCTGTGTGCACGTGGGGAGAGAAAATAGTATAATTATATTTGACTCTTTCTTAAGCTATTTTGAACGTAATTTCATTCTTAAAACAGTCTTAGTAAACACAATTAGTGCATTGAAAATTTGCAGATAGTACATTGTTTAGACCCACACTTCACATATATTTTTATTTCTATAAAAACAGTGCAAGTACTTACAAACACAATACACGAAGGTACACTTTTAGGTAAGGATACTAAAAATTACTACAGATGATAGTAAATAGCAATAGTAGAATTTTAGATCATATAAAGATTTTAATTTTTTTTCTTAAAAAGTCATTAAATATAAATACAGAAAAATATTAAAATAAATAAGATATGATACCACATTTCGTTCATTTTGAGGGCTGCTCACGCTTCACAGAGGAGTATTTCCAAACCCAAGTTTGGGGTTTGGGTTTGGATATAACAATCTCTCAAAGAACACTTCTGAAAACACTCTGCTGCGTTTGAAATTTTGTTTTAAGATTTTGGTTGTTTTTACTTGCATTGCAGATTACTATTTACATTGCACAGTGCCTAACTAGAACAGATCGCTCGCACCATTTAACACACTGTGCAATCGTTAATGGAAATACATTCATGATCGCCCCGGGATGTGTAATAATTCAGTAGCAGAGCTGCGTGGGAGATACCCTTTGTGATGAGAGTAGAGTGCGGGTGGCAGTTTTTCTCTTGAACAAGTGCTGCGGAAAGGGCATGCCCAACAGGAATATTAATGTGAAGGCGGTTTTGGCGAGGCCACCCTTGAAATTGCCGCTCACTGTCAGTGAGAATGGGAGTTCGAGAGGTAAATGTTGTAAGCGTGCTGAAGGTTGGTGATGTTTTGAATAAACAGATTCAAACCGTTGATTTAAATTCGAATTTAAATCAAATTATTTTTAGCATTGATTTGAGTGAACAAAACTTCGATAGTACAAATTTTGAATTGAGAATATAAAATTGAATATTAACAAAACTGCTCACCTAATTTTCATCCAAATTGTTCTAAATTGTGTCTTCTAAATTGCTTACCATTGTTTAAGGGAATTTAAACGAATTTAAAGTCAAAAATAGTTTTGGGGTCACAAATCTGCACAATTTTATCTTTAAATGGGCGTTTGGATTAGGTTGATATCACCCTTACAAGTATTATTTTTATGTAAAGTCGTCATTTTATTGCGCTTAGATGCAAGCTCCAATACTTTTAGGTAATATTACACAATGCAGCTCATAAATTCGTGAAGACTTAGGCATGCAGAAAGTACACTTTACGAATTGAACACTTTACGTTGTGAAGCTAACCAACATAAAATATGTGTCAAAAGAAAGTAGTTATTGGATAATGAGGCAAGTTATGGACCTGGCGTGTTCTGAAGGTTGCATCTTCAATTCCCGTTTCCCGAAAGTTTATATTTTTAACACTAAAAGTACCATTTCCAACTTAAATTTGTATTAGGAAATTTAAATTCTCTGGATTTGTTAATACAGGTATCCTAAACTTACTGATGTTTGTCAGAACAGTTTTTTTTCTGATTACCCTCTGATTATCCATTCTGCAAGCTATTAGAACACTATACAGTTCAATCGATATTGACGAACGAGTCCAATGATTCCAATACCCAAGTTACAATATGACAATGCATACTGCAGTCATGCAAATTCTCCTAAGAACGCGAGTCTCAAGATAGGTTTACGTTTTGTTGGCAAGAAATGAATTCTGGCCTTTTGTCATCCGCAGTGGCAGGCGGCGGAGAGTCTTCCTGCAAGCGAAAGCCCCGCGGACCGCGCGCAAAGGTCCTGGGAGCGACTATTCGCGGCGGGGCGGGGGCGGGTGG